GGCCCTTGGAGACAGACACCTTGCTCTAATTGGAAAGAGAGGTGAGGACTGGTGTAGGGCATTCTATTCTTAGTGAAGAACAGGAATGGCCGACGGTTCATTAGCTCCAGATAGTACCGTCCCATAACTGGAGAAGACCGATTCTCAATGCATTATATTATATAATTACATGAAATATAATTAAAATTATTAGTCTAATGTCTTATTCATTCCATTAATATTGAAGTAATATTGTCAGTAATAATGATTTTAATACCGAGTCAGTATTGTCTCATTCCGCACCTTGCTGGTAACGGTATATCTTCCTTAAAAGTAGTTTCTCGGATTTTTCTTTGTTAAGCAGAATTTCTTTTAAGGATCTTTGTAACAATGTTAAATACCGGCATTGCTATATTTCGCTGAGGCATGCTTTGTTATTGTTTTATTCATTTTTCTTTATTCTTTTCTTTGTTTTTCTCCCACTGAAGAAAAATAAATCATAGTTTAACGCTTACGTAATAGTGGCTGTTGCAATGACGAAATGCGCTTATATGCTCTTTTAAATTTGTAGTTAGTGATAATTATAAATATTTTTTTAAATTTGATTTATTCAATGAAATTTACAACTGTATTAACAGTTCAACTAGTAAAAATGCATATATTCGAAATTATGAACAGACTTACAATACAACAGACTTGAAGAGATACTGCCCAGTGGTAGTACTCCCTATTTAATTCTAGATGAGAAGATCACGTGGCCATCTTCTTTTCAGACGCCTTGGAAGATTATCAAGAATCGAGGAAGAAGCAAGGCTGGAAACAATTGGATTCGGATAGGAATGGAGTTTATCATGAAAGGATATGTATCTGGCTCGGGCTAAATCAGCGACATATGGAACATTAAGGTCTTTATGAATGGTTTTATTTGTGACAAAATATGGGGCATTAAGGATTGTAACTATTGGATACGATAGGAATTCGATGGTTTGGTAGAACTCCAAATCTAGACCTTGAAATATTATGTTTTTATTTTTATGGATTGGGAAAATATTAGATTTTCTATTATGGGTTGAACTTATGTAGTCTTTAGACTCCAGCAATGTTTTTAGTTATAAAGTAGCAAGATAGTTATTATTTTTTGTTACATTTTTTATGTAGGTACTTAATTCAAAATTTCTGGATGTTTAATAAAGGTTTAAGACTCAAACATATTTCTTTTCCCCCCCTCGAAGTTATATTTCATTATCCAACACGTTTTTCGTTTAGTTGTATTTTTGTATGTATTTATGCACTTCATAATACGTATTGATTTTAGTATGGCTTATCTTTGTAGTAAAGTTGATGGGTCCAGTAAATATCCACCCTTAGGATGATTGTGTTTTGCTTGAGTGCTTCTGACTGACTAAACAGACATTGAGCGAAGAGATAGCTCACGTAGTCGGTGATTGAGGGGGGCGATTCAGTTAGGGGAGACATCATTCGCTACCGCTAGGTTCGTTCAACTACCGAAAAGAAGTTGGCTACATTTATTTTTAAAAAGGGGGGAGTGTTGAAATAAATAATCTAAGAATTAAAAAATCACCTTGACTCTGCAATAAAGTTGAACTTTTTTTTATAATTAGTAATTCATGATTAGTTGGAATATAATAACTTCTATTTTTTTCTTTGTGTTATAAGCTTTATTATTGAGCTCATACCTAATTAATATTATTAGCTGATCAGCATACATTCTGAATTGGGTTACCAAATGCAATTAAAGTAGAACTCTGGTTAAAAATACTTAAGATTACGACCCCTAAATAAAATATTCTTGATAATATTTTTTTTATTTATTGGATAATATAACATTCTAACTATTTAACAATAGTTATATTGAGGTAAGACCATATTCACACCATATATACATACACATATAAAATAAACAGAGTAAGTAACAACTGAATAATAATCAAAAACTAAATTAAAAAAAAATACATCATGCATACCTTATATACACTTGAAAATAATAATGTATATATATATTGAAAATAATTAACATTTAATTTATTTTAAATATGGAATCTGGAATTTATTTTTAGCGCTTTTTTCTCACGATAATGCTAGGGTGCCATTTTATCAGAAATACTGGTGCTCCTCTACAAAATTCAAATAAACATTATGTAATTAACTAATGGATTTATGAAATGTTTAAATCATATACATTTATTAAAAGAAAAAGATTATGTACCGAATAATCCAGTTTCGTTTATAGCAGATAAGTGGGGTTTTATTATATTTTATTCGTAATTATTTGTTGTTCTAATGATGCGGTAATATAGTTTTTTCACTATCATTAGTAAAAGTTAATGTTATTCGAAAAAAGTTAATTAAACAATGCTAAAATTATCAAAGGAATTAGTTTTTATTCATTTATTGAAGTTATCTATATCTCATGAGTACTTTGACATATTTACATTTTCATCATAGTTTTTCGTTGTCTAAGTTTAAGTAAACTATGAAATTATGCCAATAAACAGTATTTAGCAAGGTGTTTCTATTTATTTTAAACAAACTTTCTCGCTGTTCGTTATAGCAACAAAAAATTGTCCTCCTCTGGACAAATAATACTCAACACTGAGTTACAGAAAGCCTAAGGGAGAGAGTGAGTTGTTGCGGACATATTTCGTCAGTCTCATGCCGGTTTCAGAATCCGTTGTGTAATAGCAATCATAATAACATATATTACATTCCGGTATAAAATAATTATATGTAATCTAACAAAGATAATCTAATATCTTTATATACCCGTTTAAAATTTAGCAGGTTTTATTTTGCTCGCAATTTTCTCATCCTTCTGTAATAATATTAGGTTAAAATAGTATAGTACTAGTCGAGTATACTTTTTGTCCAGAAAGTGAATTTCTTTTAAATGGAGTTTAATGATATATGTGTTATTTAGGAATATTCTGCGTGGTCTAATAATGTATGTTAAAAAAGTTAACATTGACTTATACCACAGCATTATAACTTTCTCATATATCATTATCTTTTTTTTTTTTATGTGAAAGTGTCATCGGCAATATTCTGTTCGACTAGGAATTCATAGATCTATGCTGAATTTATTCAACATTTTTCATCATGTTTTTAGTCAGGCTTTGTGGAAATGCTGATATATATTTCGTATCACAAATTCAAGGCCATTTTTTTCCAATTTTTTTTTATTTTATAAATCATTTTTGACGACGTTTCGTCCATTGTGCCAACTTTTAAGTTTAAAACTTTATTATCATTATATTACAAATAATTGCTTTACAATTAAAACGTTAATTTTATTCTACATGTATAATATATCTCATCTATCTATTGATTTTTTCATTCATTTATGTTTTACATCACTATCTATACATTTTTATTTTCCTGCATGTACGTATTTTTCTATATTTTCATGAATTTTATTATTACCATAAATCAGTACCATTCTGCTGTCATATCCATAGTCATTATCATTTTTTATTAGCTTAAAAAAAGTCAAAATATCACAATCGATTTTGGGTTTCTCCCTCATCTATGGAGGGACTGGGTTATATTTATTACTGGTTTTTATCATTTCAACATTCCCATGTGGTTTTATAAACCGCAAGGATGTACCGATATGTCCTAGTGATAGAAACGGAAAATACTGACAATGAGCCGAATGTTCTACTTTAATAATCGCTTTGAAACACACTTATGTCCCATAAAGACCTCTCCTCATAAACCTCGTAGGCGTGGATTCCATTACATCCTCCAGCAAACCTTTCGATTTTATGCAAATAATATATTTAATGAAATTCCTTCATGATTTAGAGATTGTGGGAGTGGGGTAGCTCAGTGGTAGGGCACTGAGCTTCCAATGCTAAAGGTCCCAGGTTCGAACCATGACTGATGGCAGACAATTTATTTATCTGTTTCATTGGACGTGGGGCGACCCTGGGTCGGGAGACTCTCCTGGGGCACACCCAGCCTCTATAATGTGGGTACCCTTAATTAAAAAATTGATTAAGGGGGAAAACCTGGCGGTTGAGCGTGATGTCGGTCAAAATCATCTCCTTGCACAACCGTTGACCTAGAAACAGTGCTTCCCCTAAATAGTACTGATCTTTTTTTGTTTATTTAATGGAATTTACAACTGTATACAAATACAACAAGTAAATATGCGCAAATATAAATAATGGCATGTACAGGCTTGAAGAGTTACTACCCAGTGGTAGCACTCTCTAAGTACTGATCTTAGTACTGAGATTGTGTATTTGTCGTTACTTGTTCATAAACTGTGAATAAACGTAAATAATAAATTGTTTCTATACATAACCTTATTGCTCATATTATGTCTTTACTATATCTGTTCAGTTATGTAAATACTTTTTTTATCCCTTATGTTTTATTTATTTTTTTTTTTTTATTATAATATGCATTTTGGCCAGATGTAATGTTAATTTTATGTACAATATTGTTATTCTCAAGGGACTTTGTCCCAGAATAAAGTTGATTCTTTTGTTCTATTCTATTCTATAACTTATCTAATTTGCTGGTGTTAAAACTTTGGCATTCGACCACTATATATATATTTTTTTTTAGCCTTGTAAATTTTAGAAATTGTCTTGTATAGGTTTCACTGAAATATGCATATATAATATATTGCATAATTGTAATTGTATGTATTAGTATATTTTAGTATTGGTATTGTTTGTGCTGTGTAATATGAAAAAGAATTTGCATATAATTTGTATGTTCAAAAAAAAAAAAAAGGATTGATGAGTATGCTGTGTATCGAGCAACCCTATATAGTAGGGCAGCGCTGCTTTTAATAAAGTATTTCTCTCTCTCTCTCTCTCTAACATATAGACGTAAAATTACTGGTGGACCTCATTTCTTAGATCACATTTACTCTGCAGGATTATAAGGGTTTCAAAACGTTGAAATCTTTCATTCCAAAGCAAGTATATTAGTATAGATCAGTTTACTCCTTTTTGCGCTGAAGTTATCGAGTACTTCCATCTTAGGTGTCAGGTTGCGTTGGATCCGCTGTCCCTCAACAGTCCCTCCAAAGCTAGAACTTCTTCCGCCAGACTTCTCGAGAAGAACCTCACCGTACCGTGGTACACTTGATCGTGTACACCAGAAGAGTACGGCGGTACCTCATCCGGGGTTCACTAGCCGAGACGGGACACTGTTACTATTCCCGACAAGGACGGCCTCCCACAGATCCAGACGCACCAGATATAGACGCCTACTAGTCACTGTCTGAGCAAGGTGTCTGCGTGGCTGTAGTCACTGCCTGTCTTGTCGTATCGCGTATTATGTATTACATAATGCATGTATTCACTCCCAATTATCGGAGATCATACTTCTTTGTTTGGGCTTTAAGGCATAAAACCTCAGGATCATCAGCGTCTGTGAGTCAGTTATTTTGGTTGTGTATTGAGTTCAGAAATGCCTTAGAAAAGAGAGAAAAATAATAAATAATCAAAAACTATTACATAAATAAAATGATAAATTATGTTTATTTTAAAGTAAGGAGATGGTCCGGGGTGGCGGTCATAAATAGGCTAATAGTGGTAAAACTATTTTTATTAAAAGCCAACGTTTCGACCCAGACCTTTCAGGTCTTCTTCAGGGCTAGAACGTACAAGATACAAAAAGATAGAGAATTGTGGAAGTTACATAATATTTAGACAAAAAATTATAAACAATATAAATAAGCTTATTAAAATTATAAACAGTAAGTACATTAAAATATGAACAGAGTAAGCTAAATAACAAGATCCTAAACTGAAGTAAATAGATGCTAACAATTGTTGTAGTGTAGTATATAATAAATGTTAATGTGAAAACACTTCTACAGATCTACAGGAGAGATTTAAAGAAAACGAAAAAGGGTATAGTATGAAATAATAGATATAAAGGAATGTGGAGAAAGAAGAGAAAAAAACCCAACAAATTAAATAAATAAAATTGGAAGAATAAAATTAATTTTAAATAACTTTATTTTTTCTTTTCTTTTTCCACATTCCTTTATGTCTATTATTTCATATTATACCCTTCAAATCTCTCCTGTAGATCCGTAGAATTAGATATTCACTAGTATATTGCTTAATACACAGAATATATATATATTATATATATATATATATATATATCTTTTTATTTCTCAACATTCGATTTCCTTTTCTTCATTTTTTTCCATTCGCTCTCTCTTTTCTCCCCTTATTCATCGCTCTTATTCTCTCCCTCTTCTTAACCTAATTCGTACTATCTAATGACGCATACAATTTTCTTTTCAAGTTATACAATATAAAAAAATTGAGCATACAACAAAAACTAAATAAAATTAATATACAATTGAATCAAGAAGTCAAAATTTTATAGACGATTTTATTAGATTTGTTTCTTTTCGAATCGTACTACATTTTTCCTATGCAAACCGAACCACAATCAACCATTTTTTTGTTTGGGCTCGAAACGAGCCTTGAATTTTAATTCCTTTTAAAAAACGGCCAAATTGAAGTTTTAATTACTATTGAAATAATAACGCGAACATTTTTTAGAAATATATGTTACAAATACACTGTATTAGAGTTGAAATAGAAAACATAGTTTTAAAGTATTATATACTTTATGGATTACGGTTTATCTCAAAAATTGTACAATTCAGGACTTCTGCTACCAAATCTTTAAAAATGTAAGATTTTTAGAACCTCTCAAATTTTTCAATGACTTTTATTCTAGTTGTAAATCGTGATTCATGAATTATTCAGGAAATCTCCTTTCGTTTAATTGTTCATTTATCGAAATCCATAAATAATATATATCCATAACAGATATATAATATACTATTATACTGAAGTGATTTTTTATACTATATACTTCATATTTATTATATAATTTGTTAGCTTCACGGTTTTAAATGAACACAATGTCCCTAAGCAAACAAAAAAAATTGATATGTCATTACCTATCATATTTTTTATATATAATTATTTCCGTGGCTCCCCATCCTTTTTAGAGAGACATATTTGTTAATTTACGATTTTATTATTTTCAAAAGGTAGGAATGGAATTGTGCAAATTTGAGGATTCGCCGCAATGGCTCGAGATAGCCAAGAAAGAGATTGAGGACAGTTCCGCTAGAATTGTGCAAACGATTACCGTGAAGGTTTTTTCACCTTTATGGCACAACTATTTTATAATACTGTAATTGTCTTCTTGTTAAAAATAAATAATTATTATCTAAACCTTTCAACGAAACCAGAAATATTCAATTGTTTTTTGCTAGTTGAAACAGAATAATCATTTTGTATTTAGTACCTTTAAATACAAAGGTATATGCGGTTTCTTATAATTTTTAAAATTCACTGAATTTTTTGTTTTGTATATTTTTCATTTGTTCCTATAACAAATTATATATTTTTTATGAGAAGGTGTTGGTCGGTGTTTGATTTGTTGGTATTAATAAATAAATAAATAAAAATTTAGTATTTATTTGACCGCAACCCCCGACCAACTCCTTCAACTCACTTTACAAGACCAAGTCCAAGGCCACCTAACTGTTGCAAGACCAAGACCAGGACTGGTAAAAAAAAATCGATTTTTTGATTAAAATAGGCAAAATAGTTACTAATATTTAATAAGTGGTATAACCAATATACTTTTGCATTTAACTCCTCTAATTTTTCATTCGGGCTTAGTTAGGTTTCTGCTATCTATAAAATTACAGTAATATCTCTATAGTAATAAGCTAATAAGTAACTGCAGGACTGTTTGCGAGACTCTTGCGCAAGACCAAGACTCGTCTCGGTCTCGCATTTGGGCAACACTAGAGGTCGCCACCAATAAAAACTTCGTAATGTCTGCTTCCTGAAAAATTATCACCCCTAAAATATCTGTAATTTGGTATTTACACTATAAATATGTGTATATATATATATTTTTTTTTTTTTATTCTTTAGAACACCTCCATTTAATTTTTTTAATAAATTTAAAACTGTAAATTACATACATTTAGAAATATTTAAAATATAGGTAGTAGTAGTGTGTTGCAATGTTTTTTTTTTCCATTTTTTCTTTTAAATAATTTGAAATGAGTCCTCTGATATGGCCATGATATGCTCTTATATGTGTTTATTTTATTTAGTTAAATTTGAATTGATTGATTCATTCTGTCTTTATAGGAAAATTACAACTAGAAATGAATTGATTACTGATTCAAATTTTACTCAAATAGACAATTTACACAAGGAGCTCGATGGGAGGAATTTTCGATTGGAGAATATTGACAAAAAAAAAATAAAAATAGATTGATGATAATTTTATCAAAGGAATTTCTAGCTTTTATCTTTATGCATTTTCAAGCATGAACTGTTTTAAAACTTTTTTATGGACGGCTATTTCATTCTGAATTCGTTCTCCTTAATGTGTATAATGAAGGAAATGACTCGTACCATTGGGTTTTCTGATATTGAAGTTATGTTGGTACCGTAAAAAAATATCTCAATAAATCGCTGATTTTATTGCTAATCAATCCTTCCGTATTTAATTACGTTGAGTACCATAAAACTTTATGGCATCAGTACGTGATTTTGTATTTCTTTCACTATTCAGAACTTTTTTTTAGTTTTAGTATACACAGATAAGGGATTAGTTAATATTTCCAAATTCGTTATCGGTCAAGTATGCTAACCCATTTTTACCATCTTATCAGCTGACGCCGGTATTTACAAAATGAATATTTTTTTCTCGTGTTGTATTGTCAGTGATTCATAAGGTTCGCTTTTCTTTTCATCGGAATTTTCAGAACCTCTCTTAACTCATAATAATAAAATATTTCAATTTCTATCAATTATTGATAGTTGATATATTGACTTATTAAAGTAAAACCTGACCACTCACGTTAGGGGGGGGACAAAGCTTTTAAGTTTTTGAAAAGAAAGTATTACATACAATATTTAAACCGAAAAAGGATAAGTTCCGTAAAAGTTTAGACAGCTGCAATATAATTGGTGCGATCAAAATGGGCTTGTGAGGTTTTTTGAAAGGTGCAAAGGAGGAAAAAAAAATTACTTAGCTTATTATGGACTATAATTATGTTTGTGAGAACAACCGTTGTTGTTATTGTTGATTTTTCATCATTAAGTAAAGTATATTTTATATGTAATAAATTCTAAAAATGAATATTTATGGTATAAGATTATAGAGGAAGGAGATTGTCCGGGGTGGCGGTCATAAATAGGCTAAATAGTGGTGAATCTATTTTATCAAAAGCCAACGTTTCGACCCGGCTTTGCAGGTCTTCTTCAGGGAGGTGTGTTCAGCTAGGAGTTTCACTTACAACTAGATATAAGATTATATATCAAATCTATTATGAATATCTATTATCTGTATTACTGTCAAGAATACATAGATAAACTCGAATAAGCTGTGAGAAAAAAACAGAGAAAATAAGCCTATAAGTAAATGAAGATAAATTAAAATAAGGAAGGAGATGATCCGGGGTGGCGGTAATAAATAGACTAAATAGTGTCAAAACTATTTTATTAAAAGCCGACGTTTCGACCCAACTTACTTTTTTAACTTTTACTACTTGCCCCCTTACCATTACCCAACCAGGTCAACAAATTTCCCCAATACTTACCCTTACCCTGGTTTTCCAGTTCTAAGTGAAACTCCTTGCTGAAAACACCTTTTAAGTAAGTCTCTATTTTTGTTCTACTAATTTTAATTATTTATTTATTTTAGTTTTTTGTTTGTTTTCTTCTCTTTCTCCCCTTCTCTTTATGTCCATTATTTCATATTATATCCTTTTCCCTTTTTTTTTCCAATCTCTCCTGTAGATCTGTAAGGGTATATTCACAATTGCATATATTATATTTTATTATACTACAACGATTGTTAGAATCTATTTACTTCAGTTTAGGATCTTGTTACCTAGCTTACTCTGTTTGTACAACATATAGTTCTTAATATTTTATAATCCTTACTGTTTATAATCTTAATTTATTCATATCGGTCACGATTTTTTATCTAAATGTGATGTAACTTCCACAATTCTCTATATCTTTTTGTATCTTGTCCGTTCTAGCCGTGAAGAAGACCTGCAAAGTCGGGTCGAAACGTTGGTTTTTAATAAAATAGTTTTGCCACTATTTAGTCTATTTATGACCGCCACCCCGGACCATCTCCTTCCTTAAAAATGCAACGGTCACTATTAAGTATTCAATATAAATTAAAATACATGGTCGTGTGCTGATAACAATGTCACAATATTAATTTTTGGGCTCAGAGTTCTTTTTGAATTTCTTTTGAATCTGTTCCTTCACATTTTCTTTATTTCTACACTTTTCTTTACTCCTCCAATTTTCTAGGGCGGAGTGGATTAATTATATTAGGTATAAATATATTTATATGTAGGTAAATCTTTTATCTTGCTCGATTTTTAACAACTTTCTTGGCTGAATTTGGCAGATAAGTATCCAAACTGCAGGTTACCGCAACTGATCTTTGTATTCTTCATTTGTTCAGGGTTTTATGAACATTTTGATTTATGTTATACCTTAGCTCGCGCTGGCGCAAGGTACTCATCCTATGAAAATACGAAAATCAAATATCAGTTGAGCAATAATTTATTCTATCATAAAAGATTTTTGTAAATATATTAAGCAGTAATATATTTGACGCATTTCAAAATAATTTACACGAAAATATATTTACTGAATTATATCAAGTCGTAAAATTAATGTCGTAAAAAACAGACTATTTATGTATGCGTTATTGAAAATCTTGGAAACCCATACGTTATTGTTACCTAAACTTATAGAATACATCAATTAACTAAGTATTAAATTAGGAAAGGAAACATAGTTTAGTTGAATTATCATTACATCTTGAATACAAGGCTTTTTGCCACTTTCAAACCAAAGTACGCTGGTCTTTATATGTATGTATATTTTTTTTTACAAATCTTTATCTATAGCTATGCAGATATAAATATAATGTTTATTCCTACGATTGGATCGATTTAGTTCTTTTCCCGAATCCTTTATCATCGGGTTCAACCCAGAGCTCTCCCCGACCAGAGTATGGCGTGCTATCGAGAAAGGCCACGATATCTGAACGAACCCGATGCGGTGTTCCATCGCCGAAGCCCATTTGGTCGGGACGTCAAGAAGAACCCCCGTCCTAGATGTGACGGATAATCAGAGGTCACGCGAACTGTCGCCCCATGATTGGGAAGGTTGAGCTTACCTTGAACTATTTGTTACTTAACCGGTGGTTCGTTTCTTAACCAACAGTTGCTTATTTATTGATTTTCCTCAGTCTAGTACTAAATATAGCTATACTAAATTAACCTTTTCTTAATGCAAGAACTTTATGAAAGCCCATTAGAGTTTTTATACTCCGATATCACGGCCAGTTATGAAGATAAAAGAAAAATATGAAGTGTTTCAGAGATGGTTAATTAGTCGACTGATCAATTATTAGGATGAAACGAAATTGTCAGGATTTACAGCCAAGAATTTTTATTTGGTTATCTGACGTTTCGACCTAAACGTGTGGCATCCTCAGGGCTATCTTATGGGAGCCGAGAAAAGAACTCTGTTCTTGGATGACCCACATGTTTGGGTCGAAACGTCGGTTAACCTAATAAAACTTCTTGACTGTAAATCCTGACAATTTATTTTCATGATAATGGGTTTTAGAATCGTCATAACTATGTATATATATATATATATATATATATATATAAGATAAAGACCGGAGACTGGCGATATCAGCCTTAATACCATCTTGTAATGTAAATAAACATAGCAATTGTATATAAGGCAGATTATTGAACGAATAAAGCAGTTTGTATTCAGAAGCCGTGAGTATTGTTTCTCGTTCCTCTTTCCTTCTTTTTTTTTTATTTACAAAGCCCGGAGACGCTTAACTGGTGCCGAAACCCGGGAGAACGTCAGGAGAACACGGAAGTAAAATTTTTTTTTCTTTCTTTCTTTTAATTTTTTTTTCTCTTCTCCTAGTCATAAGGAAAAGACGAGATGCCGACAGAGGGCATAATTCGACCAGGAGTGTTGAACGCACCTGAAATGCCGCAACCTCAGGAAATGCCGATAGCGCAGATTCCTCAGATCGCCCCTCAGGTTCCGCAGATTCCGCAGATACCTCAGATACCTCAAGTACCGCAGATACAAGAGATCCCTCCCTTACCTAGGGACACATTGGCAGAGGCGCACGCCAATGCATTGGAGTGGATGAAGATAAGGGCAGCGACCACGCAGGATCTACGGAGAGCAATCGCAGACCTGGAGCGATTCGGGGGCGAGATAGGTGAACTTAATCACTTCTGAAAGGTGGAGACCGCCTCATATCAAGAATCGAAGCAAAGGTGGCGGAGGACCTCGTGAACCTGGGAGACGCAGAAGCACTGAAGGCAGCTCTCGTGTGCCGAGTGAGGAGGAACATCCTCAACCAAATCCAAGCGGACGAGGAGACACCATGGCCAGTGATTAAGGAGCGTTTGAAGAAGGCTTTCGGAGGGGGCCGATGGACGCCGGAGAAGATATCTTCCAAATGTTTAGGGAGTGTCGGTCCCAACGCCAAACAAGAGGACAGTATGCGGGGGTACTAGTGGCGAAGTACAACCGCATAACTGAGAAAATGCGTGAAACCATGAGTGTGGGAGAGGTCGAAGCTAGGATGGAATTCCTTTCGACAATACTCAAGGTTCAGTTGGCTAAGGAGACTGGGAGAAGGGACGGACTGCCTAGAGAGCGATCGTTCCTCGAGTGTGCCCAAGAAATGATAGATCTGAGTGCAAGAGAGGAAGAGACGCGGATGGAAGTAGAAGAACCAGGGTGGACCCGAGTGAGTGACAGACGACCCCGGACAGCCCAGATAGGGTGGAGGAAGAGGGAAATGAAACACCCGAACGGAGAAAAAGCCACGACGGGCGAGAGAAGATCCGGACAGTCCAGGCCTAGGAATGGACCCCGGAGGGAAGACAGAAAATGTCACGGGTGCGGGAAACCGGGACATTTGGTAGCACAATGTCCGCGCACTAGATGTTTCGAGTGCGGGACTGAAGGGCATATTGCCAGACAGTGCCCGTACATGTTTCGCAGGAGAGAGAGACCTCTAGACGAGCCAATGGAGGTGAACGCTCAAAAGTTAAAAAAACGAGCTAGGATGCAGCAGAGAGACGGATCTTCGGAAGAGGCAACCGAGGAGTCGGGGACGTCGGGAACGGAGACTGACGAGCCAGCCAGCCGGGGAGGCGAAGGAGGCAGGAGCAGCCAACGGAGCGAGCAACGACGAGCGACGGCGGTAAGGAGGAAGCGAGGTGGCATCTGAGAAGGGTGTCAGCAGAGAGGCGACCGCACAGCAACCTGCAACAATATTAGAGGTAAGCCATGCTGGTTGCCGATTATTGAAGTAGGGGGGAGTGAAGTGTCTCGTGGACACAGGGAGCTCGAGTACTATCTTCGGGGGGCGTTGGGGAGAGTGTGCGGGAGCGAGAGGGTACTCCGGATACAAAACTGTGGCTGCCAGCTAATCACTCTGGGTGGTCCCTGTAAAGTAGAAGGGGAAGCGTCAATTACGCTTGATCGGTGGGCAGGGAAAAAGGGGGAGCTAAAGGTGCATGTGGTAGAGAGCATGACGCGGGAGTACCAAGTCATAATAGGGTGTGATCTGTTAGGACAGGTAGGGGTAAGCATTAGAAACCGTAGAGGAGCTTGGAGTATCAGGCTGGGAAAAGGAAATTTGGATGTATAGGGGTCGCGAGAGAAAGAAGGGTGCGGATAGGAGCGGTGAACAGGGTGGAGGACTGGAGAAAGGCGTTACAAGCGGAGTTCGTAGATATTTTCTTCAGGGAGGGCGAGGTATTGGGGGTAACAGGGAAGACGGTACACGAAGTTCCACTGAAGCAAGATAGGGTGACCTACGTAAAGGAAAGGAGATACCCGCAGGCGCTGAGGCAGCATATTCGGGAGGAATTGGAAAGCCTAAAGGAGCAAGGGATCATAGTCGATAGCACCTCGCCATTTAATAGTCCCCTGTGGGCAGTGAAAAAGAAGGCAGCGCCGGGGGATAATAAGGAAAAATACAGAGTGGTAGTGGACTATCGTAGGTTGAACGACAACACGGTAGACGAAAAGTACCCGATCCCTAGATTCGAAGATATACTTGATAGGTTGAGTGGGGCCGTGGTGTTTAGCACGTTGGACCTCAAGGCGGGATACCACCAAATACGGATGCACCCGAAGGACCAACATAAGACGGCGTTTACATTCGAAAGGGGGCATTACGAATTCACCAGAATGCCGTTTGGTCTGAAGAATGCGCCCATAACGTTTCAACGCCTGATGGACGAATTTCTGAGGGGGATCGACGACTCCGTATGTCAAGTATACATGGACGACCTGCTGATTTTTAGCAGAACGGAAGCCGAACACGTGGGGCATTTGAGGTCGGTATTCGAAAGGCTGCGACAATTCGGGCTGAAACTGTCAAGTGAGAAGTCCCTGTTGGGACAAACGCGGATCAATTTTTTAGGCCACACTATTTCTAGCGAGGGGGTCAGACCGGATGCGGCAAAGGTGGAGGCTATCACACGAATGGCGGTGCCACGGGACGTTAAAGGGATTCGTAGGCTTCTCGGGACGCTGAATTATTATAGAAGATTCGTACCTGAGATGGCAGAATACTTGGTACCTATCAATAACTTGCTGAAGAAAGGCGCGAGGATCGTGGTGACACCGGAAATGGAAAATAATATTCGGAAATGCATGGATAGGTTGCAGGCAGAACCCGTATTGGCGTTCCCGGATTTTGAGAAGCAGTTCAACGTCACCACCGATGCGAGCGAATACGCGTTGGGGGCCGTTTTATCCCAGGGCAGAAGTGAGGGTGAACGTCCGATAGCATACGCGAGCCGACGACTTACGAGCGCGGAATCACGGTACAGCGCGTTAGAGAGGGAGCTACTCGCGATAGTGTGGGCCATCGACCATTTCAGGCCATACATATTTGGGAGGAAGTTTCGAGTCCACACCGATCACAAACCCCTTCAGTGGGTAGGAAAACTTAAGGAAACCTCTGCGAGGGTCACGAGATGGAAAGAATTCCTTAGTCAGTACAACATGGAGGTGGTGTATAAGCCGGGAAAGGAAAACGTGGTGGCAGACTGGCTCTCTAGGGCCATCATGATCAACGCGGTAGAAGAGGACGGGGAGGTCCATCGCGGGACGTGCGCCAATTCTTGAGGGAATGGACTCCTGAGGGTGAAGGGGCAGATGATACCGTCAGTATAGAGGACAGGGAGGGGTCCCCGGAAGAAGATAGCTCAGCGGAGGAAAGACCAGTGGCGATGGAGGAAATAGACGAAATCATCAACGACAAGCATAGACAGGTAATCTGGAAAACCAGGACAACAGGGATCATGAAAATAGATTACCGAAGATACGGGAAAAGTAGGATTCGCGTCATTTGGTCGCAACCCGGGGTGAGCGAGGAGCAAATCCGTACGGCACTGAAGGACGCCACGGAACCGGGAAAGACACACCATCTCTATGTTGGGAACAACACGGTATGGGAGAAAATAAAGCGGATGTGGAGATCCGAGCGAATAGGCATGGATAGAACGATCATCCGGTGCAAGTATGCAGTGGAAACCGTACAGGATGAGGAGCAGCAACAAGCAATTACATTGGCATACCACCAGGGGAAGACCAACCACCGAGGCGTCAACGAGACGTTGCAGGCATTACGGCGAAAGTATTTCTGGTGGGGAATGAAAAAATCTATCCAAGGAATCATCGGGAAATGCGAGGTGTGTATGCGCACAAAGTATGATCGACACCCCCCCAGAGGAGTTCAGGAAGAGACACCTACAGGGAATATGCCGCTACAAGACCTCCAGATCGATACATTCACCTGGAAAGGGTTCAAGTGGGTCACGATCATCGACACCTTTAGTAAAGTAGCTATGGCACATCAGGTCATGGACAAGTCTGCCAATGCAGTTGCGGAAGCCCTACAAATCTGGATACAGTTTTACGGAGTTCCCGAGAGGATCACATCAGACGGTGGCAGAGAATTCGACAATACCGCGATTAGGGAGGAGGTGAAAAGGTTAGAGGTTGTGTGGCATTATAACACACCGGGACACCCTAAGAGTAGAGGAGGAATCGAACGT